TATTATATTATATTATATATTATATATATATATATATATATATATATATATATATATATATATATATATATATATATATATATATATATATATCAATATATCACTGCGCCAACTTTCTCTAAAGCCCAACATTTATATAAATCAATCAATGATCATACTGTACAGTGTACATCAGAGCTTTGATGTTATCATTGATTGATTTATATATATATATATATATATATCGGTTTTTGAGTTGTTTTCAGAAGAGTGTATACCAAACCGGGCAAGCAGAAAATTCTACTTGACCGCGGCTGGATGTAATAGGATTTTTTCTGTGTTGGTGTTGTGTATTCAGGTGAATATGATATTTGTGATGTTACTCTGAGTGTGTATCCATACCGGGCGAGCTTGAAAAATATGCCCGGCCACGGTGGGCATTAACAACACCAACACAGACACAGATTATATATATATATATACTGTGCACAAGATACTGTGCAACCAAAATGCCAGATTAAAACTGATCTGAAATTTTGTTTGACGTATGGGCTGTAAGCCATTTTTCAATTTACCTTGACAAAGAGATTCGTTTCTTGCAAATTTACTCTCACAAGTACACAGGAAAGATCCATCAATATTGGTGCAGTTTGAATTTGGGTGACAATCGTCAAGAGATAGCGAACATTCATCTATATCTAAAGAACCATAACAAATAAATGGATGAACATTTTATAAACTTCAGTAGTTTTTCTTGATATAATTAATTTTACCCCTTTATCATATTCAGTTCTTTGGTACTCAATCACTGCGGTCGAATTTATGTTAAAAAAGAACATGAATTCTCTATTTACCTTGGCAAACAGTTCCATTTAGGATATATCCAGTGTAACAAGTGCAGAAAAAAGATCCAGCAGTGTTGGTGCAATAACCATTGAAATCGCAGCTGGAATTCGATAGAGCACATTCTTCGATATCTAAGGATAAAAATGCACCGTGCATGAATGATATTTTTGTAAATCCAATTGGGATAAAAGAAAACATATCGTGGATGTGATAGGCCTATATGTGGAAATACTGTAAATATTTTACATATTTGAAATAACAAACTTTTGATTATTTATACTGGTTTCGAATGAGTGTTTGAACAAATTCTAGAGAATGCTGCATCATTGATTTGGTTTCTTAGCGGCGATATATACCGACCCTTAAGGCCCTGCCACGTACGCTATTGCGTATAAGAGAAACGTATATGAGAAGTGTAATATGAAATTAATGAAATTATTTTCATACGTACCCCTAGCGTATGTCAGCGTTCTTCACGTACCGGTGATATTCTACATACGTTGGCATACGCTAGTACGACAGTCAATAGGGCCTTTAATGAACAGTTAATCATTGAGTAACACAAGATATGATAAAACCTTGTGCTAATTTTATTTCCTTTGGCATTTCTCCTTTTGGCGAATTTGTATTCGACAATTTTGTCTTTCACAATCCGCACAACTAATTTGTGGCATCCCCTGGATAACTGACATGGTTGTGTAAAGTGATTGAGAGTGATAAATTGTTATAAATTGTAACGCATTGGGTTCAGACAAAGAACCATAGTGGACTATCATTGCAATATGGCTGTAAGGTCAATAATTTTCCGAGGTACTACTCACCATAACAGTATACGCCATTTCCGGTAAAACCATGGTTACATCTGCAGAAAAAACTTCCATCAGTGTTAATACATTGAGAATTACTACCACAGTTGTCCAATCCTCGGGCACATTCATCCACATCTATATTGAATATTAAACATACACAGAAAAGAGTCTTTAAACATTCTATCGAAACATGTTATTACGATACAATTACAGATATTATTTTGTTTTATGTTTCTCTGCAGATGAGTCTTTGGTCTAGTCGTAAATATTGACAAGGGCTTGTTCAATATGGGGAAATTTTAGGTCATGATAGAAAATATTCAATTTTTGGTCTTCTGAATTGCTATTATCATCACCATTCTTCATAATACTAAAAAAATGTAAAAACTGTATTTCATGCAGCTGTCCAATAATGCAAATTGTTATGTGGCTTACAATTTCACCTGTTGCCGAACATTGTACTCCTGCCTACTGATAATGTCAGCATGCAGTATTCCCCATCCGTTATGTCTTATGAGAACAATTGATTTAATTTTCCTCATTTCCAGAGCATCACGGGTGCTAAAATACAATACTGATATTATTGTAACTTATCATTTTACCTGTTGCCGAACATTCTACTCCTGCGTCCTGATAATGCCAGCAATAAGTATTTCCCCATCCGTTATTAGAACAACTTATTAAATTTTCTTCATTTCCAGTACATCTGACATATTCTAACCATATCTGTCCAGTTCCATCAGGAACTTGGTTTCCCCGAAGAGCTCTAGCAGCATATGGATAACCAAGTTGACGACACACAACCCTAGCATCGTTTATATCCCAACTATTATGACAAATTGTCCCCCATCGTCCATTGTAGAGTACTTCCACACGACCTGTGCCATTGGAACTTGATGGACCTCGCAACCTCACAGATACACCTGTAAATATTTAATTAATACCAATTGAAACGAAGAAAAGGTGTGATGGGAGATATGCAAAATGTTATTCCCCAAAGGAGGAACAGTGTATATGCTTGTTCCTATGGGTACAAAATTCACTTCTTTGGAAATTGCTGTCATACATACTGGTGATTTGGCTACCCGAACTAAACTGCATGCAAATGAAAATGAGTTTACTGTAATATTGGCTGAAAAGAAGATGACAACGCATGGGCGTACCGAGAAAACAAGGCAGTCGGGCAATATTCGCTTCACAGTTGGGTAAATGGTTGTCGTACACTAAGGTAATTAAAGGTGTTTTGTGAAAATAAACAGGAGAAGTCCTCTCAATATTGACAATATTACTCATTTTTAGACTTCGTACGTAGTGTTTCACGTGCGTTTTTTTCTGATCGGAAGTGAACATGGGACAGCTTAAACACTGTCCCATATTTTACTTTCGGTCTGGAAAAACGAACGTGAAACACGACGAACAAAGTGCACTAAAATTAGTCTGAGAATCAGAATTAAAAACATTTTATATTTTTACTTTACTTTACTTTGATTGTTGAGTTTAAATAATTATTATTAAATTATCCAGATTGAAATCTGAACGTCCACTTTCAAAAGCAGCAAAACATAATTACAACAATATAGGCAGGTAGGTCGTAGGTAACCAAATACTTATATATATATTTAAAATACTCATTAAAAATTCATAAGCCTTGTGGTAAATCATGTCATGGCTAATATGTCACGTGGAGTGACTTTATATATCCAATAAAACTCATCTTCATTAGTATTCTTTATATAACTGTTCATCCTAATTAGTATTCTTTTGTAGTCGTATTTTAAGCTATTTAAACACGAGAAAGAGTGTTTTATCATATATAAAACGCTCGGCTGCACCTCGCGTTTTAAATATGATAAAACACTCCTTTTCGTGTTATAAATACTATATATATATATATATATATATATATATATATATATATATATATATATATATATATATATATATATATATATATATATATATATATATATATATATATATATACATGTATAAAATTAGGTTTTGTTGGTTATAAAAACTTTTGGAAAAGTGCTCAATGGAAAACCAGAGCATATTTAAATTAAGGTACAACAAATCAACAAAATCCACTAGGCATCTTTATTACTAAATAGTTTCGTACCACAGTATGTGGCACTCTTCAGATAAATTGACCTAATGACTATAGACTAAAACTTACAAGGTTATATGTACAAGTGGATGAGACATGAAACTTAATCCTATTTACAAAGCACGCGATTTAATAAACATGTTATATGATAAGCTGACAGGACGCGGAAAGATTAACACACCGCGGTATATTTAAATGTCTAGCTTTTAAATGTTACTTAAAAGAAATTTTTTATTATGCCTACATGCTGATACTAACTCATTACGTTTGTTTAAAGTGGCCATTTTAGGCTGACAAATAATAAAGTATTTCTCCCATAAACACAAATTACATCTATTTGAAGCACAGTTATAAGGCTTAGCTCGTTTCAATAGTTTCCATTTGATTGTATAATGGATGTTTCGATTTTTCAATTCCCACACGTATTTGCTAAGTTCAGTAGCGTTCCGTTTGTCAAAAGAGTTAAATGATGCTTTATGGTTCGCAAGTCTTGTTTTGAACGAGTTTTCAGTAAGGCCGACATATGTTTGGGGAGGTCTATTGGTAGTTTTGTCCTTAGTAGTGACTGTGGCTTGATATACAACCGATTCGGTGATACATTTATTAGACAGTGGGCACAGTTCTTTATTGTTTTTAGGGCGACTGCACATGTTGGGACTATTCGTGGTGAAAGCTGTAGACAGCGTGGATTTGTTGTGTCCATCGATAGTCTGTTTAATGTTTGGCATACAGCTGTAGCTGATCTTGACTGTATTACGGTTGAATATTTTGTGTAATGGGTGATCTGCGGGGAATTCCTCGTCAATTATTTTCAAGAAAGTCTGGCCAACATTAGTCGAAACATTCTTGCTATATGGTGGGTTATACCATATAATTTTTTTTTTACGACTTCGGGTTTTGTTATTAGTCGTTAGGTTTAGGGGGTGTTTAAACTGTAGCTTGTGGTTGTATCCACTTTTGTCAAGGGCTTGTTGATATGGCGGGGAGGCTTGTTCGAATGAATCTTGATCAGAGGATATCTCGGTTAGTCGTTTGTTAATGGATAATGGAATATTACGCAGAACACTGGGTGGGTGGTTAGACTTGCTATGCACATAAGGAGGTGTGTTATTAGGCTTAGAGTACTGTCTGGATGATATTTCCCAGTGGTTAGATTTAGTGTCACGTCACACAAAATCTATAACAACTGGTAAATATCATCCATACTCTAAGCCTAATAACACACCTCTTTCCTACACACTCCAGTACATTTTCATCTTAACATATTAGGGAGTGTACAATTACACAATATATATATACAATTACACAATATATATATATATATATATATATATATATATATATATATATATATATATATATATATATATATATATATATATATATATAAGGCTAATTTATCTGATGAGTGCCACATCTTGTGGTACGAAACTAATAGTAATAAAGATGCCTAGTGGAATTTGTTGAGTCGTTGCACTTATTTAATCATGCTCTGGATATCCATTGAGCACTCTGCCAAATGTTTTTGTAAACAACGAAACGTAATTCTATATATATATATATATATATATATATATATATATATATATATATATATATATATATATATATATATATATATATATATATATATATATATATATCT